CAGAAAATCGTGAAGTCAGTGAGTAAATATTCTGTTTTCCGTAACGCCTTTCCTAGAACACCTTCTATATGTGGTATGGACGTATGCGTATATGAAGGTGTAAATATCAATCATGTTGATTACTACAACGTAACACATCATTTGTCACGTGTTATTGGGCGAGCACAATGTTACAACCTTCATATTGCGACTGTGCACTGCCTCCCGTCTTGGAGGCAATGTACAACCACATTATTGAAAAATGGTTTCGGTTGGGGCATGAGGAGGAGCAGGAAAGAGAACCTCTACTTAATCGTGAGATTATCGAACATTTTCTACTGACATGTCACCGTTTAAAAAATCAAAGGAATAAATGTTTTGTAGTTTTATTCTGAAAACAAGGAATTTCACTTTGTACCCCGAATATTTTCTCCTTTGGGGCTGCTTCATTGCAATTCAGCTACAGGAACGTCTGTGGTACCCTCTGCGGATTCCTGTGTGACAAAAGGAGATAACCTAGCTGATTCATTGATCAATATTTCTCTTCTTTTCTTCTATGTGTCAAAAATTACCATATGCTGTTAAGAACAATGTGATCCCTTTTCCTTTTACCCCGAACAGACCTTCAACGGGCACTGACATAGAATGTCGCGCATGTGATAGCCTGCGGGGTTGATTCCTTTGAAGATGTGTATACAATCTGCAAAATATCGTCAGCGAATAAGGTATTTTAAATTAATTCATCCAGGCAAGCCGTTGTGGCGCCAAAGAGCCACTATAGCGACCATGCGTGCAATGAATTAGAGTACCTGTATACGTACCGCGTGCCAAGCATCGATCACCATGAATCAGTTTCCGAGACACCTGTTGCCCAGACCCTAAAAATCATATGTCACAAGCACTGAGAAGTGCTATCAGTAAACGTCGTGCCCGAAGTCCGCTGACCGTTGAGTGGTAGACGAAGCAAGAAAGAGTTTCTGCTGTTAGTTCTTGCGAAGGCTCCGCTACGCCAGCGACTGTGGCTCAGCCTTAGCGTGGCCTCTCTTTATGGAGACGCTAGCATATGATTAGGGAACTAGGGTTACTGTATATGATCCCTACTGTATGTGCTCCCTTACTGTATATGCTATCTAAATGTATATGCCACCTAAAGGTAGCATATACAGTAACTCTATGCTGGACGCCCCCTCCCCCCAAAGAAATAAAAGCATTGCATCAGCATTGGTACATATTGTCGCGGGTTATAAATGACAGGGGGGTTTATTTAAAAACACGGACAGTAGGACTTGTAGAGACGCTCTCAGAGAAGGCCGCTAAGATTGTCCTCTTCTTCACTCTGCTGCGCTGCGCCCCTCGAGCGAATCCGCGTTCTTCGTTGTCGTCGCTATCTCGCCGCTAAATGCAGCTATGCACGCAGCATTACCCTCCCACCAGAGTGAGCGTCGTCCCGACGCTCAACAGGTAGAGATGCGGCCATCGAGTGTTTATATCACTGAGAGTGGTAAAGTTTCATGCGGACCACGTGCACTGTCTCAGGCAGACGCTGGCGACGTTTTGAACAGGAGGAGGCGTCGGGCACGACTTCGTACGTCACGTCGCTAAGACGACGCAGAACCTTGTAAGGTCCGAAGTATCGGCGTAGAAGTTTCTCTGAGAGGCCTCGTCGTCGTACAGGAAACCAAACCCAGACTCTATCTCCTGGTCGATAAATGACGAATCGATGGCGAAGGTTGTACCGTTGGGCGTCAAGTTGCTGCTGATTCATTATTCTGACGCGGCAAGCTGCCTTGCTTCTTCGGCGCGCTCAGTGAAGTCTGCGGCGTCCTGTCTCTGAATCATTGTAATCGTAAGGCAGCATGGCGTCAAGCATTGTCGTAACTTCTCTGCCATGAATTAGTGCGAACGGCGTCATTTTTGTTGTTTCCTGGCGCGCCGTATTATACGCGAATGTGATGTACGGCAATATTCGGTCCCAATTCTTGTGTTCTACGTCGACGTACATGCAAAGCATGTCAGCGATTGTCTTGTTAAGTCTTTCTGTAAGCCCATTAGTTTGTGGGTGGTAAGCTGTCGTCTTCCTATGCGCTGTGCCACTGAGCGTAAGCACAGTGCGCAAAAGCTCGGCTGTAAACGCGGTACCTTTGTCTGTTATGACGACAGCTGGAGCACCATGTCTCAGAACAATGTTCTCAATGAAGAACTGAGCCGCTTCAGCTGCAGTGCCACTCGCGATTGCCTTGGTCCTCCGCGTATCGGGTGAGGTAGTCCGTCGCCACTATAACCCATTTGTTGCCGCTGTCCGATGTTGGGAATGGGCCCAGCAGATCCATTCCGATTGAGAAAACGGGGTTTCTGGCACGGGCACAGGATGTAATAGCCCAGTGGGTTTGACAGGTGGTACCTTGCGCCGCTGACAGTCAATGCATGTTCGGACGTACTGTTTAACCTCTGCTGCGATTCTTGGGCAGTAATATTTTTCTTTGATGCGTGTCAGTGTTCTTGTGAAACCGAGGTGGCCCGCAGTGGCTTCGTCATGGCAGGCTTGTAAAATTTCGCTGCGGAGAGCTCCAGGAACTACCAGCAGATAGCTTCTACCTGTTGATGAAAAGTTCTTTTTGTACAGAATTCCGTCCCGTAAACAGAATGACGAAGTTCTTCGAAAACACTCTTGGTGCATTGGCGGCTCGTCCATTCAAGAATTCTATAAGCGAGTTGAGCTCCCGATCATCTTGTTGTTGCCGAGAAATAATAGCTGCATCAACAACTCCTAAAAACCTGGGAAATCATCATCCTCTATAGCCGGTGATTCAATCGGTGACCTTGACAAACAGTCGGCGTCTAAGTGTTGCCTTCCGGACTTGTACACTACGGCCATGTCGTAATCTTGGAGCCGTAAGCTCCACCGTGCTAAACGTCCAGATGGGTCTTTCATGTTGGTCAACCAACAAAGAGAGTGATGGTCGCTTACGACTTTAAAAACACGGACAGTAGGACTTGTAGAGACGCTCTCAGAGAAGGCCGCTAAGATTGTCTTCTTCACTCTGCTGCGCTGCGCCTCTCGAGCGAATCCGCGTTCTTCGTTGTCGTCGCTATCTCGCCGCTAAATGCAGCTATGCACGCAGCAATATTATTTACAATAATCACAATATTATAGTGCAATATACTTTCGGCGCAGCTCAATAGTTCAACCTATTAGTTCATTTCGCTGAGAATATAGGTTAATATATGAAGCAGAAATCGTACGCCGGAAAACAGAAGCATTTTTGTATTACTTTGTCAAGGGGAATCATATTGCACAGTTCATAGAAGAAGAACAAAACTTTATTAGCGAGAAAGACTTCGTTGCCGCTAAAAGAGGGCAGCGCCGCGTGGTCGGGTCCCTATTCCAAGGCACCGCTGGCTCTCGCCATCCTTTCAGCCCTCCTGACCAGCTTCCGCTGGTCCTCAAGGGCTGGGCTGGACAGCATTGCCTCCCACATCTCTCTGCTCTTCTTCTCTTCGTGTTCTTCGGTGTGTGCCGTACATTCTCACGTGATGTGGTAGAGCGTCGGTGTGCTTCCACACCACGGGCTTTCTCTGAATGCTGTTCAGTATATAGTACGTATGCAATCTGTGGATGTTTATGTATGTGTTAGTTTGGAGTTGGCGTATATATATGCCTTTTCGAAAATCTGAGTGGCGGGAGCTAGATATCTCGTACACCAATATCTCGCTATCCAATCAATCAATCAATCAATCAATTAATTAATCAATCAATTTTTCTTAGGACAATGAAGCAAGGACAAGTAAAGAAAGCGAGAGCCTCACTTGTCTTTCTTCCATGCAAGCGCTTATCTGTTAATGTGAAAAATGTAGCAAGCGCGTCAGTCAAGTGAAGCATACAGTAGTGCGTAGAGTTAAATTTATGGTTTCGCGGGTCAATGCAGGCCTTGCCGAGTTCAAGAGACAGCATTTTCGATCATTGGTATCGTGCGCACATGCACTGGCACACTATACATCGAACGGGGCAAACTTACATCAGGTCATGGCCGCGTGATTTTTATGCGAACAGGGGAATAACTGGGAGTGCAAACCTACTCCAGTATGTGCCGCTAGCCATGCCACTATACCACACGCGTGTCTTCGTTGACGGCTACATGATTGCGTGAACAAGCATGATGTGAAAGATGGAGACATCAGATCGTGGATTCTCTGTTAGTGGATTCAGTCGAGGCCATACCACCGCAGAGGCAGCAGCATGGATTGATGTCTGGGTGGATGTAAGAAAAGACGAGAGGGCATGGAAAGATGAAGGTCTGTAGGCGACGCCAGGTGACCTCAGACTGCTTGGGAAGACTGAAGTGGGGCGCTGGATAGGTGTATCGCTCGAGGCGACAGCGCTGGGTATCCCTCGACCTCTTCAACCCACCCCCTACCGAGGAACAATGGGAGGTTCTTCTATGCAGCTCCGACAGGGACATTCAGACACGGATCTTGGAACGAGCGCAAGTCGTGATCGAGAGGCACGGCCTGGCAGCCTACTTGGCTTAGCCTCCCTCATCCCTCACCCTTCGGATGAATAAAAGTTGTCACTCACTCACTCACTCACTCACTCACTCACTCACTCACTCACTCACTCACTGTTAGTGAAATGCAGCAAGCGTGGACTTAAGAAATGTTTTATCGCTGTCTATCGCATGTAACGAGACGCAGAATTGTTCTCGAAAGTAGAGCCACAGTCGGCATACGTATTGATAATAGCCTACCATCTAATCAAAGGCACATATAAGCCCGCTTTCCGTGTGTACATCATATCGTCTTATAGATTTATTGCACGTTTCATTGCGCAGCGCCAATGCGTCAGACGTCGAGGCTTGCGGTGAATCACTAAATAGGCCATTGGAGGGAAACGGGGGAGCATAATGTTCTACGTGGAGGTCTCGAACATGCACTGTGTAAAAGTTCATGCCGAGGCCTAATGAATCGTACATGATTTCGTTAAACGTGAGGAAGTCGGTCAGGTTTTCAGGTGCACATGAGTCTTACGCGTTGTACGCAGACTCGTTCATGATTTTGGTAAACGTGACGATGTCAGTCAGGTTTTCAGCGATAACTGAGCCATGCGTGTTGTCCGTCGACTTGTTCATCGTTTCTGTGTGCGTTACGAGATCGGTCAAGTCTTCAGATATAACTGAGCCTTCCGTGTTGTCCGCTGACTTGTTGGTTATTTTGATGAACGTGACAAGATCGGCCAGGTCTTCAGGGATAACTGAGCCTTCCGTGCTGTCCATAGACTCGTTCATGAATTCGGTGAACGTGATAAGGTTGGTCAGCTCATCAAGGATAACTGAGCTTTCCCTGTTGTCCACTGACTCGTTCATTACCTTGGTGGGCGTGGCGAAATCGGTCAGGTCTTCAGGGATAACTGAGCCTTCCGTGTTGTCCGTAGACTTGTTCACGAATTCGGTGTAAGTGACGAGGTCAGTCAAGCCCTCAGGGATAACTGAGCTTTCCGTGTTGTCCGCTGACTCAATTATTTTGGTGAACGTGACGAGGTCGGTCAGGTCTTCAGGGATAACTGAGCCTTCCGTGTTGCCCGCTGACTCGTTGATTATCTTCGTGAACGTGACAAGATCGGTCAGGTCTTCAGTGATAACTGAGCCTTCCGTGTTGCCCGCTGACTCGTTCATGAATTCGGTGAACGTGACAAGATCGGTCAGGTCTTCAGGGATAACTGAGCCTTCCGTGTTGTTCGTAGACTCGTTCATGAATTTGGTGAACGTGACAAGATCGGTCAGGTCTTCAGGGATAACTGAGCCTTCCGTGTTGTCCGTAGACTCGTTCATGAATTCGGTGAACGTGACGAGCTCGGTCAGGTCTTCGGTGATAACTGAGCCTTCCGTGTTGTCCGCTGACTCGTTGATTATTTTGGTGAACGTGATAATATCGGTCAGGTCTTTAGGGATAACTGAGCCTTCCGTGTTGTCTGTCGACTCGTTCATTAGCTTGGTGAACGTGAGGATGTCAGTGTGGTTTTCGGTAATAACTGAGCCATCCTCGTTGTCGGTGGAGTCATTCATTATTTTGGTGAACGTGACAAGATCGGTGAAATCTTCAACGATAACTGAGCCATACGTGTTGTCTGAAGACTCATTCATAATTTTGGTGTACGTTACGAGCTCAGATTTGTTTTCAGCGATAATTGAGCTTTCCGTGTTGTCTATTGGCTCTCTCATGATCTCGGTGAACGTCACGAGATCGGTTCGATATTCAGCGGTACCTGAGCTTTCCGTGTTGTCTGCTGACTCGTTCATGATTTTGGTGAATGTGACCAGGTCGGTCTGGTCTTCAGTGATTACTGAGCCTCCAGTGCTGTCCGTGGACTCGCTCATAATATTGGTGAACGTTACGAGGTCTGTCTGGTCTTCAGTGATAACTGAGCCTTCTGTGCTGTTCGTGGACTCGCTCATGATATTGGTGAACGTGACGAGGTCTGTCTGGTCTTCAGCAGTAGCTGAGCCTTCCGTGTCGTCCCCGGACTCGCTCAAGATATTGGTGAACGTGACGAGGTCTGTCTGGTCTTCAGTGATAACTGAGCCTTCTGTGCTGTTCGTGGACTCGCTCATGATATTGGTGAACGTGACGAGGTCTGTCTGATATTCAGCGGTACCTGAGCTTTCCGTGTTGTCTGCTGACTCGTTCATGATTTTGGTGAATGTCATTAGGTCGGTCTTGTCTTCAGTGATAAGTGAGCCTTCCGTGTTGTCCGTCGGCTCGCTCATGATATTGGTGAATGTGACATGGTCAGTTTGGTCTTGCGCAGTAGCTGAGACTTTCGTGTCGTCTGCGGACTCGTTCACGATTTTGGTCAACATGAACAGGTCGGTCTGGTCTTCAGTGATTACTGAGCCTCCAGTGCTGTCCGTGGACTCGCTCATAATAATGGTGAACATTACGAGGTCTGTCTGGTCTTCAGTGATAACTGAGCCTTCTGTGCTGTTCGTGGACTCGCTCATGATATTGGTGAACGTGACGAGGTCTGTCTGGTCTTCAGCAGTAGCTGAGCCTTCCGTGTCGTCCCCGGACTCGCTCAAGATATTGGTGAACGTGACGAGGTCTGTCTGGTCTTCAGTGATAACTGAGCTTTCTGTGCTGTTCGTGGACTCGCTCATGATATTGGTGAACGTGACGAGGTCTGTCTGGTCTTCAGCAGTAGCTGAGCCTCCCGTGTCGTCCCCGGACTCGCTCATGGTATTGGTGAACGTGACGAGGTCTGTCTGGTCTTCAGCGATAACTGAGCCTTCCGTGCTGTCCGTGGACTCTCTCATGATACTGGTGAACGTTACGAGGTCTGTCTGGTCTTCAGCAGTAGCTGAGCCTTCCGTGTCGTCCCCGGACTCGCTCAAGATATTGGTGAACGTGACGAGGTCTGTCTGGTCTTCAGTGATAACTGAGCCTTCTGTGCTGTTCGTGGACTCGCTCATGATATTGGTGAACGTGACGAGGTCTGTCTGGTCTTCAGCAGTAGCTGAGCCTTCCGTGTCGTCCCCGGACTCGCTCATGGTATTGGTGAACGTGACGAGGTCTGTCTGGTCTTCAGCGATAACTGAGCCTTCCGTGCTGTCCGTGGACTCTCTCATGATACTGGTGAACGTTACGAGGTCTGTGTGGTCTTTAGCAGTAGCTGAGCCTTCCGTGTCGTCCCCGGACTCGTTCATGGTTGCGGTGAACGTAACGAGTTCGGTTACGTCTTCAGTGATAACTGAGCCTTTCGTGTTGTCCGCAGACTCAGTGATTATCCTGGTGAACGTGATGAGATTGGTCTCGTCTTCAGAGGTCACTGAGACTTCCTTGTTGTCTGATGACTCGTTCATAGTTCTAGTGAACGTGACGACATCGGTGAGCTCTTCCGCGCTTACCGTGAAGTTTAACTGCATGATCGGGTGCGTGGTAGCATCGTGCGGTGTCGTGTCGTTCTCTGCGTCGGGAGTAACGACGATCGATAAGGCACTGACCTTGCTGCCTTCGGCGAACATGAGGAAGACGTGTAGCAGGAGGCCCACGAGCAGTACCGCGCACACGGTGAGAAGACACACGAGAATGGCCAAGGCGGGTATGCCCTTGCAGGGGCCAAACTTTTGAAGCAGTCCCTTGTTACCGTTTTTGGTTAGGACAGTGGACTCACTCGTAGTGCTCGCGTTTATGGCCATGCTTGCACAGGGCCTCGCGATGCAGAGCCCGAAAGCCGCAGTTCTCAAACCACGGCGGAGGCAGTTCTACAAGGAGACTGGAGCTGAGCTGCCCTTCTAGGTCGTGGGAAGAGAACGTAAAGGTTGCGTTGAGGTCGCCTTCTCCGCGGGCCACCTTCTTACGTCGCGGAGGAATGAAATAATGGCTACGTGCAATCTTGATCTTCTTTTTCTTCTTCTTGTCTAATTGGCGGTGAGGAGATGCCGTGGCGCACCATGTGAAATCATTTGTGTGACATGAAGGGTTGGATTCCTACACCTGCCCCCTCCTACTCAGTTCACAGCTACTTTCACGCATTATTTTACAGCAGAGCTGTCGTGCTCGACGTTTGCCGAGAGTTGTAGATGATGATGATGATGATGATTCCACAGCCATGGCTCGTACCCACTCAGGGAGATCGCCAAGAATCGATTACTTAATTCAGTAAGGTTTTTTTTATATTCAATATCGAAACCACCCACCGGAGAAAAAAAAGAAAGAAAAAAGAAAAGACACCCTGGGCAGAATGAAAGGAGTGCAATAGTTGTTTGTCACTCGTTCAGATCAGACAATCATTCATTATCTTGAATAGGAATTAGCGTGGTTAAACAAAGCTCCTGTTTATGTTGGAATATTTTTGCAGGAATATTAATCACGCAATTAAAAGCTTAATTCTTTTACTTTCATTAAGGTACTTGCAAACTGCATAAAGAACGTTCTCGTGGCTGAAGCCCAGATCGGAAGCACCGAAGGAAAGTATATTTTCTATTGTGAAGTTGAGCCCCAGGCTAGCGAATGGGAGGACTAAGAGTGTTTTTTATCGCGACATGATAAAAAATAGTGCTCTATTGTTTCTGATTCTGAACAAAAGTTGCATAGCGGTGATATCGCCAGACCAGCCCTTTGAAAAATATCATCTTTTTCCTGACATCCACACATGGCACATGCAAGGTGGCCCGTGAAGCCGATGAGATGGTGAATTCTTCCATAATATTTGTATTATATAAGTCTTAGGTCCACTAGGGAAAGAATCACAGCTTTGACGTGTAAATTACAAATAATGAAATATGTAATGTGCACCGAATTTAGAAAAAACATAATAATCATGAAGCGGCAAGCGCTCCTTTTGTCCTCTTTCTCTTCTGCGTGCGTCGCCTACGTGTACAACCCAGAAGAGTTTTTGTTTGCATGAAATGCAATAACCCAGAGAGGCGAGATAACGTTCACACACAGAGAGAAGGAAATGAAGATAGAATGAAAAAGAAATAGCGATATTGTTGGCAGGAAAAATTCTTCGGCTTGCGAGGTCTGAATCCATGTGCCCACGATGCGAAGGAGGGCGCCGTAACCCGTCAGCTATCCAGGCATGCTAGCAGAGCAAACTGTATCCCTGTAGAATATAGTAAGAAGCACTAAATAATATCAGAATTGTACCACTGCACACAAATGTAGACTCATTTGAAATGTTATTAGATGCGAAGCAGCTCTTTGATGACTCATGTGGTTAACGCCGTACGAACGCGCCGAAACGCGTTCCCTCGCTGCACGTGTTGAAGCGGTGCCAAGTAGTTCACGCCGCAGCTGCGCGTTGACGTCACGCGCCGCTCGCAAGCTTCTTCATGCTTCTCTCGCAGGTGCGCGCTGACGACACTCTCTTCCTCACCCGCAGCACGCTCACCGCAGCACCCACAGCTGCCGGCTCCTCCTACCGCTCGCAACAAACTTCTTTCTCGCTTCACCCTCTCCTCCGCCCACAACCCTCGACCGCACGTCTACTGGAAACGCTGTTTCGGATAGTTTACGTGCGAAGAAACTTACACGAAACCCAACCCGCCTCCTGTGTCATTGCGTTTCAAACAAACGGTTACTAGAGTAAACGCTACACCGAGTTTCGCTCCAAACCGCTTTTCCAGCACCCGCGTCTACACCCGGGCGCACCGCTGCTGCTTCACATCCCATCTAGGGGAGCTATTCTCGCGGTGTCCGATCCTTGAACATGTACAATTGGCCTCCTCTGATTGGCTGGAGTGCGCCGCCTGTTCCCGGTCTTGCCCCGCCGCGGTAGTCTAGTGGCTAAGGTACTCGGCTGCTGACCCGCAGGTCGCGGGATGGAATCCCGGCTGCGGCGACTGCATTTCCGATGGAGGCGGAAATGTTTTAGGCCCGTGTGCTCAGATTTGGGCGCACGTTAAAGAACCACAAGTGGTCTAAATTTCCGAAGCCCTCCACTACGGCGTCTCTCACAATCATATGGTGGTTTTGGGACGTTAAACCCCCACATATCTATCTATCTATCTATCTATCTATCTATCTATCTATCTATCTATCTATCTATCTATCTATCTATCTATCTATCTATCTATCTATCTATCTATCTATCTATCTATCTATCTATCTATCTATCTATCTATCTATCTATCTATCTATCTATCTATCTATCTATCTATCTATCTATCTATCTATCTATCTATCTATCTACTATCTATCTATCTATCTATCTATCTATCTATCTATCTATCTATCTATCTATCTATCTATCTATCTATCTATCTATCTATCTATCTATCTATCTATCTATCTATCTATCTATCTATCTATCTATCTATCTATCTATCTATCTATCTATCTATCTGTTCCCAGTATTTCTTCCGCAACGTCATTTTGACGCCACGCAGCTTTGACAAATCTATATACAAACTAAAATGACGGAATGCGTTTCGCCACGACGAATGCTGCCCCCAGATATTCGCTTTTGAACGCACATCTCGGACGCCGTGCGTACTATTATCACGTTAGCCTTTGAATTAGGTTTAATGAGGCCGCCCGCCTGACCTCCCTGAAAGGACTGTACGCACTCCCTGAATCGTTCTTCAAACTCTTCAACACATTCATGCGTACGGTCAGACTTGTCAAGTTCGTTTTATAGTCTCGTTACTCTACATTTCATCCACTTTTACGGTGGGAATGTGCTGGCAGGTTCGGTGCGCCGACATGGTCAAGCGGGCCATGACGTCACCGTTTTTTTTTCGTAACTGAAAGAGCTCCGGCGAATCGGACATGTCCAAGAATCGGACACCGTGTGAATAGCTCCCCAGGGTTCTCTTCGAAGAGATGGTTAATAATTTTATTCAGACAGGCGCAGTATGCAAATCTTTTTTTTATTCGAAGCTACTTTTTAAAACCACGTCACAATAAAGAATTCATCAATTTCGATCACAAAAGTTTCAAGAACGAAAAACAACTGTACGTGCTTTGTGCCTTTGTAATTTAGGGTCTTGCAGGGGGAAAAATCATTTTCGGCAGTGATTAAATCTCTACACTGTACATCATACACATTAGGATAGACCTTGAAAAACGGCTTTACAGAAATGTCATGTTTCATTGGCTTCTAAGTGCTTATTTGGTGTTGTGACGAAATGCTTGAATACGTTATATATATACGTAATTCTATGTTCTATTCTACTCATTAATGACAAGGCATGCAGCTGTGGTGTACGGCTTTCAAGCCAGCATACTCTCCCGTAGTTAGCCGAGTTATTGAACTAATAAGCGACAAAACTACAGTGAAGATGGTGCCTTGTGCATGTGATATTGTACGAAGGTTTTCAACTGATCTAAGAACGCTATCATGTTGTATTGAAGGGGAATTGAGCTTCGCTAGAATGCAAGCTTTCTGTGAGCAAATACACTTAGCTATATGCTACATGAACAACACTATATATACTGCTACTGTGATGAGGGTCTTTCTTAGACGGTGAGCGCGCACAAATCATGGCCAGTTGCCGACCATGACGACGTGTCCCCGTCGCTTGCCTTGCGCCGGCTCCTCTGCGGCTGCTGTTCCACCCCAGCAGGGTTGGTAAAAGGGAAAGGGTGGAGCATGATTCACGTACAAGGGCCGACGGCCGAACTGGCCGAACGCTGGATAGCAGTCACTGATGACGTGGCCTCCTGGACCTACTGTGGTCCAGACAGCCTCATCAGCACGCTTCCAGCCGTGTCGCAGGCTGATAAAAGGGCGAGTCTGCAAAGAAAAGAATTCGATCCTCAAAAATGTGCTGGCGACGAGTCGCCATGACATTACACGAACTCCTGACATTATGATAGCATCAAGTACTTCAAAAGTTTGGGTGAATCTCATCAAACATGTGGGCGAGTATTATCAAGACTTCAACTTCTATTCGTGACACTCATACTAGCCCCCGTATTAGCAAGTGCTAGAGGACTGAAAGCTTTTCGTCCCCTTTGTCGAGTGAGCCACAGCGCCTCGCCTGAACTACGGAAGGCACTGCGCATCATGATATTATAGCCATATGGCAGTGGGGAGCACTGCCCTCTTTTCTAGAGACACTATACGTATACAACGCGCTTTACTTATTGCTATAAGCGGTCTTCTCAGTATAAAAGCCCCCGTAGCCTTACATGCTCTTTTCGCTGGGTTGGTAGATTATAGATGATCCACAGAGTTGGAGCTAGACATCACTGCCTCCCATTGCTTAAATATCGGATAAAATCATGGACACACACAAAAATATGAGAGGACCCTTAATCTTTGCCTTTAAGAGTTCAACGCGATAGCCAAATTCGGCCCCTAGTGCACCCTTCAATCACTAAGTGCATACTTATTAATATGTTGTGTTACATACACACACACGCATGCACACACACACGCACGCGCACACACACGCACACAGTAGATCGTACCAGCGCGCGCACGTGAATGGTACATACATGTTTTTGATCTAAAGCAAGAGTCACATGGCCTCCAAGACACACGCCGTGCGCTCGCCATCTCGGAGGCCATAAAGAGTCTCACAATGCCTCAAAGATAGCAGCACGCTATCTAGCGCTTGCTGTTTGCTTTATCAACGCCCCTGGAAAGGCATAATATATTTTCCGCTAGATGTACATAGTTGTCCATTTTTATAGCTGTTTGAAAGTTCCTGTGTGTTTTTAGTGGCGGTGGCTGCACTATCCCGACATTTTTGACGTAATTTGAGGCTCCCAAAATGCGCCTACAAATCACCGAACGGGCTAGTTTTCCTCGTGAAACCTGTCGAACGAAATGCGTCAAAGGGGCCCTGAAACACCTTTTCAAGTAACCATAAAATGAGTTCACTAGAAGAGCTTAATGCCTCACAAATTCAACGCTGCAAAAACTTTAAGAATCTGTCCAGTGCGAGTGGAGTTACAAAGGTTTGCGCATGCTGCAATTGCATGATCTTTCTCTCGTCCCGACGAAAGCGCTGGAAGCTAAGCAGGGAGGGATGGCAGGGCCAAAGAAACTACCGCGTCTCGTGACCTTGAACACTTCTTTTTTCTTCGAATGCGCTGGTTTTTCAGTGTGATCGAGTGCGCACGCGTGGACACGTGGCGGCCTCCCACGGCGATTTGTAAGTTGATTTTTTCAGTCACAGACACACAGACGATTTTTCGCTCACAACCAACGGGGTCGACATCGACGGCGGGATTTCTGCGACACGAGCTTTCTAACGCTATCGCGTTAAAATAACACTAATGCACTGGACAAGCGTTTTTCAGTGCTTGACATTATGAACCAGTGAGTACAGCTACGAAATGTTTGTTAAGCTCCCGTTGCTGCTTGCTGGGAAGACAGAAATGTCTGAGATGTAGTGTCCATGGGCATGCCAATACCATATGTTCGAGCGTTGCGCATTCCTCGCCGTGTAAGCGTTGTTAGGAATAGAATGCCGTATGCGCATCCATGGTACAGATTCAAGTGTCGATGAGAGTTTGTAGTTTGCGCATCGTAGTGTAATTGGCTGTTGCGTTACACAAGCGTGCGGCGATGATCATTTTAACAACACTGCGTATTTAAATCATGACATGAATATTATTAGCTCCCTCCTGCTCACCAAAAATCTCACAATGTCACTCGCTACTGTATTCAACGAAAGATCACAGCATATCCACGGAGTGCATGATGATGAGTGGGGCGAAGCGTCCATCACTCTGTCCGCGCTTACGTCCGTCCAAGCGTCCGTCCGTCTGTGCATCACCCATGCGCGCTTCCATGCGTCCTTCCGTCCGACCACGCATCTTTCTGTCACTCTATTCGTGTGCCTGCGCATCCGTCCGTCCATCTAGTGAACACTCCAAGTACCACAATCTCGCATCTTTCCATCATATACTCATCATATAAAAGTACCGCCATCCAGTGGACATTCCAAGGACTGAACGAGAGGTGGCACTGCCGGGCTAGAGGACTGGCACATGCGCACTTTCATGGCCTGCGCTTCGTCTCTAGTTTCCACCTCTCACCGCCGCTATTGTTCACGGCACTGTGGCCCAACCTTCGCTATACCTTGCTAAAACCAATGACGTTGTGCACAGCGAGTTTAACATGGCTACCCTTTCTGGTCAGATAGTGCTCAAAGTGCGTACTTCTGATACTTGTTTTTTTTTTAGTAAGCATCAACTTCAAGGCAAATTTTATTGGTGAATAAGTCACCAATACTCGTCTATGCAGGTTATTTCAACATAAGAAACAACTATATATTTATGAGTAACGTGCGCGGGTTTCCTCCTCAATTCAAAAGGGTGCGAACGTGCCGCTCCTCTAGTCCGGCCGTGGAGGTGGCTACCTACTACTACTACGACGACTACTACACACATCGCGGACGCACGACCCACGGCTTAGGGATCTTCGCACACCCCACAAAAGTACACCATCTCCCGCCGAAGAAGACCATGACGTGATGCGACGCTCCACGGGGGGAGGGGGGGGGGGTTGCAAACCGCGCGAGAGGGGGCCTGCGATGAACGGCTATGAACAACGCAGACGCGCTATGTCTCACGGAAATGTGGAATGCGTTTCCACGGAGGGCGTATCGGAGAAGAGAGAGAGGGACAGTGGAGGTGTGGATGCCGCACTGCTGAGGAGGCGTTTCGTTGCCCTCGCCGGCGACTCAGAAGAGAGGGTGAGAGTAGGAGAGGAGCAAGAGCGGAAGAGGAGTTCATGCTAGCACATAAGTGGTCGCGCCACACACCGGATTGAGCGTAAGTCACTTCGCATCTAAAAATGGCCATGGTTAGACCTAACAGCAGTAATAGAATTTCTTAGCCAAGTATGATGCCATACCTTGTTGTCGTCGGGAATCCACCAACCGTTGTCATGGCCCGAGGTCGTCCCCGAAGGCATCAGCATCCGTGCTCTGCGTCTAGAGCGAGCCCAGTGCGCGACGAACTCTACGGGCACTGTCATCAAGGAGATGGCGGTGCCGAGCAGCAGCAGAAGGAAGGCGCTCTCCATTTCGGACAGGCCGATGGGCTTAGACAGGCCACGCGTGTCCTCTCCGTAGTTGCGGAAGCACTCGTGCGGTTTTTCGCGGTGATTCTTCAGCAGGAAACGTAGGTTGCCCGAAGTCCGCAGCAGGTAGAAACTGCGTGAAATCGTGCCGAGCAGAGCTTAGTGATATGCGCGCCACTCGAGTTGAACGCGGTGCCTGTGGGTCCTTAAGAAGAAACCATCATGATGACTCCAGAATTTTTTTTTTGCAGATTAGTTCCATCATATAACAGGTTTTACTCACGCTCAAAAGTGAAGTTCACATTTGACGCCCAGCTTTTAATAGACTCTTTCACTGTTTACAAACACAAACCCTTGGTGACATGCGAAGTTCGTATACCGATGTTCCCTTAGTAGCATTGTTGGGCAAGAAGAGATTTAGAAAATATCCCGCTCATTTTTCTACTCTCTCCTTTATTGAAACAAATGATCTTTTGAGCTACATGAAAATGATAAGAGTCCCTTGAACTTTACGCGTGTTTCTTTTATGTGAAAAACTAAAGAGATACTTTTTTACTCTTGAAAAAAAAAACTAGAGAATGTGCTTTCAGTTTTGAAATTGGAGCTGGTAAATGAGGTGGCCGGAAGTTTTTAGGGGTAAAACGCTTGCAATCTTGAAACCATCTACAGCATTTTGCCCGTCACTTCAAAGGTGATTCACCTGCCCAACAACTTGCGTGACCACATCTCCTGGTCTTGGATTGATCGTCCATGATTGGTCGATTCTGCTAGTATCCATGGGATGGCGGTGACTGTGAGTTGTGATGATAACATTGATTGATTGATAGACGGTGTTTAACGTCCCAAAACGATCACATCATTATGAGAGACACCGTAGTGGAGGGCTCCGGAAATTTCGACTTCCTGAGGTTCTTTAACGTGCGCCCAAATCTGAGCACATGGGCCTACAGCATTTTCGCCTTCATCAGTAATGCAACTGCCGACGCCGGGATTCGATCCCGCGACCTCAGGGGGATGATAACATTAAAAGGGAGATTTTGAACGGTACACGAGTAGTAACGTGGTACAGCAAGGTAAATCTGTCAAGAACCCACTTGAATGGGTGGAGAAGTATACGTTTACCTGGATGGTATGGAGATTAAACAAACATAAGAAAGGAGCCGGAGACCTATAAAAGACAAGCCATTGTTGTACACTTTCAGACTATATACGCCAGTGGGCTAGCTGATAACATAAGGCGATGTTAAGATCACAGGAACACATGCATTCGAAGCAGCTTGTTGCGGGACAGGCTGGAGATTAAAAAAAAGTAGAAAACGTTTTGCAGGACGCAGCTTATGATGATCATCATGTTCTGATCATTAATTCTGTTTTTTCAGCGGCTCCTCTACACCAATGAATATTTTACGGTTCAGAAAGGTGAATGGCGCAAGAACTTCCAGGTGAGAACTTTTGTGTATTAAGGCTGAAACAAGGTCGTTGAGGTGTGAAGAGAATTTCCTTACTGAACCAAAGCAGCTGGCAGTCAGCGGTAGTCCCACGCCTACTTGTCCGCGTTTAATTTTGCACAGTTTTACTATGGAACTACAAAGACTTCATTTCATTACTACTTGCTCAATTCTGCGGGACTTGTAACAACAGTATTTGATAAAGTTACAAAACAGTGAATGCTAGCAAATCACTTTTGGCGTGATAAACGTACAATGTCTCGGTACATAGTCACGTGACTTTGTGCATTGAAGCAGACAAAAAAAAAATAAGAGGGAAAACATCGCTCACTGTCGATTCAAGGCCTGAACGAAGGGGCTCCCGCGTCGAGCACTGATTCCCATGGTGATGAGCATGATGTCGTCGTTGAAGATAGCGACGCGACAGCGCCGCTTTTGCTGACTTTTGTAATCCGCGATGACAAGCGCTTCCAGCAGCTGTTTGTCCGCTGCAGAATCAAGCCAAATAACGAAGGTTAAGCTCAGGGGAGCACTCATTCACCTAATTACCGCAGTCGAAACCCGCAATAGAGAAACCTCGCAACAGTGAAGTTCTCGCGGCAACGAAATATTTTCCAGTCCCGGTGGACGCTCACACATTCAATGCTTCTAGCATTTCTCGACAGCGAAATGCTGTGTACGCACAAAATCACAACAACGAAAATTGACGGGAGGTCTCCCCGCACGTTGTCCTTTCGAGCAAGGTCAGCATACTGCTGCGCACTTCACTCGAAAAGTCGTGCTTAACGCGTAAGCTGCGTAATGTACACCCCCCCTCCCCCTAAAAAAAGAAAACAGAGAGCAGTTTGGTTAGACTGTTCCCACGTACGCAAGAGAAAGGTGGGACTCACGCTGTTCAATTCCTTTTGTCGTAGCTGTCAAAAATGCGTAGCCTCTTGTAGCCTGATAAAATTATTGTCATTGAAGCTATAACTAATTATGTTGGTCCCATAATATTTCGCTAATAACTTAACTTGTATGTTCTCGATTACTGAGAAAAATAAACGAGGTACAGTGAGTGTTACCGACTGAACAATGTGATCAAGTTATCCCAAAATCACCGATGAATACAAATAATTTCAAGTAACTAATTACGTGTGATTGGTCACGTACAGGTCTATACCTGCGTACCGCATGGACAAAGTAGACGGTGAACACGCTGCCGAGAGTCCTTCAACGGCGTACCTATACGTCACGCTTTGGGGAATTCACTTACCTAAAAGTATGGCCTTTCCAGTTGCAACCCGATCGATGATAGTTCTGAGATCAGGCACCGCCGTAGCAGTTACTCCCAGTCGCCGCCGAAGTCTTATGAAGTGCTCATTGGACGATTTCTGTGTTAGGTATAGATGGAACAATGGGGTAAACTGGTATGTAGCAAAGTAAGAAGAAAGAGGTATCTAAGGGTTATGGAGTGAGTGAGTGAGCGATGTAAACGCATTGAAATACACGGATGATACTTAAAATTCGACTACGACGCCACAGAGTTGTCAGGCCAAGTTCACACAGCATTCTGCTTTACTTGCCACTGTTCGTTTCTCTGTGTATACCTCAAAAGTGCCGTGAGAAAAAGAACGTCTGTGCATGTGAAATTGGCCATTGTGAATTTCCCTGAGGCGCCTGCTATGACTGCAGTTTGAATGCACCCACTACGGGCCTCTATGGTACTACCCATACCTTCGCACGTGCACACTTAGCTCATTTATGTTTGTTCATTCAATGAGTGCCAAATAAAAAAAATGGCCCCGTATCTGCATGTAATCTGCAAATGTCGTCAAAAGACGATAGTCTTGCGTGTGGAGAGAGTGAACAAAACATTTATTTGATGTTCTGCGCAAGAAAATCGGTGAATGGTATTCCGGAGGCGCTGCGTTAGAGTGCCTCGAGCGTGCAGCGGAGGCTCACGAGCGCATCAAGTCACGTCACACTTGAGCCATGAGCGCCACCTGGCAGTTTATTTTGAAAAACAAAGTGCGTGGCTGTGCGCGCCCGTCTCAGAGGTGATAAGCTGTAGAACGCAAGGTGACGGTTAGGTGCCACCACCATCTCGTCTTAGCAAAGCGTTGAAAACACTTGCTTTTTCGTGCAAGCGTTGCATGGTAAGGGCAGCGTGATAAGCGCTACGGTCCTTAAAATTACTTACGTATGCGTTTTCTAGTAAGAGATACATATGTAGAATATATGCGTGTTGTTATGGTGCCCCAGACATGCGCAATAATTGCTTTTTAATTGACAATTGTACAAGCATGAACGCTCAACCTTGAGCAACATTGGTGGTCGCTGCGGATGGGGTCGGCCGTTTCAAGTACCCGATGCCGGTAAGAGTGGACAAACAGACGAATGTACCAACAGACAGACAGACAAGCAGACAGACCAAATTTTTTGCGTCGAAGGTCCCCAAGAAAGACTATCGTCTATAATTGATTGATCGATACTATGGCTGACCGCAAGGGGTGGGGGCTGCGTGCCTCCCGGAAGAAATGTGTACTTTGACTCACAGGGGGTGGTCGCCTGCAGATGTGCGGGCCGTATATATCTAAAGCGAATCGGTAAACAGCTCACGCCTTTGTACGCGCTGTGACCTCAGTGTTTACTCCGCGTTGGCGACAGGCATCACGCTACCAGTTCGCTCGCCTGATCGGCCATACTCCTTACTGTCAACGTTTTGTAGAGTTACTCCAGGTCACATATTGAAAGAGCTATTAGTCTTCTCTTTGCAAATTCGAATTTTTTTGCGACCACGTGTGTTGATGCGCCCTAGCGGCAAAACTGCGACTTTTTATAGTTATATTTTCTAGCGGTTTTCCTTCTCTTTCATTCAGAGTCAGCAAGGATTGTATTCTGAGACGATCACTTTCAGCGACAGTGCCGGTTTGTGTGAGAAGAAATCTCGCTTGTCTGCTCCCCACCCAACTTTTCGCAACTAGCCAATCAGTGCTCACTTAAAATCGTATATATTATGACAATGTCTACAACCTAAATTATCAATGAATCAAGCGGTAATTTTATTGGCACCATACTATAGAAGATGCGTACACAGATATTTGGACTCATAGCCTAAGCGGCTAGTGATGGTTGCAATACCAAAAGTGTATAAGATGGAGCAAATCTTCAATGGCCCCTGTTCTATTATTATATTATTATTATTATTATTATTATTATTATTATTATTATTATTATTTCGACCTCTTTCAAGGAATGCAAAGTTAAAAAAAAAGCTCTTTTACCGGCGCCATTGAGGTATTTCGTTTTAACGCTGTCCTCTTACAGTGCTTTCGAATTTCCCGCATGTTAGAACGCTGCGTAGTTTAGGTGTCGGCGTACCATTATCTCCTGGTGCAGACCCGTGCCGTGAGGGATGTAGACGTGTATGTCCTCTCTCGCCACGGCTTCCCGAAAAGAGGAGACGACCCACTGCGGTTCGGGCACCGTGAGGAAAGCGATCAGGTTGCTGCTGTAGTAGGCCATCACGATCACCACGTACAGCCACCAGGCGCACATCACCAGGCGCGAAGAGGTGCCAACCGGCAGGTGCACTCCGCCTACAGAGTTTGCGAAGGCGAAGAAGAGAAGCCGTAACCGATTGGGGGAGTCGGCATGAATGGAAAATTAACTACGGGGCTGTCGAAGAGATCGCCCCTGTCGTTGTCTCGTGTGCTTCGCGTTGGCTTCGTGCAGGGCCCACATTCTTTATACACATAAACTAAGCAGCTTGCACGTTCAGAACCCCATCTTCGCCGAAATTTTAGTCCGTATGTCCTAGCCAGCGAAGCGGCAACGAAACGTCAGCGTCGGAGGTTGGACGCACCGCGCTTGGTGCAGCAGACAGGAGAGAAACAGCAGGAAGGAGATTACAGCACGGAAAATAGATAATTGCCAAACGAATCCAATAATCACAGGAAGAGTAAGAAAAATGACACATGACATCACATAATCGCACTCAAGTAACAGAGAAGAGCAGATAAAAACGAGAGAAATACGAGCCAATCATGCTCCGCCGTTGTCGTATAAAGCTTTCGCTTGCAGTGTAACTTGTTTTGATTTTTCTTTGATATGAGCGTGAACTGAAAAACAAAAGAAGACGGAAAAAGGCGCAACTACAGCGCTGGCTCGAGACTGAAGGTTTGTTGCTGCGAAAACAACGTGTTATGAAAATGGACAATCATGCGCAGATCAGTGTAAATAAACACTGCTACTCGAGTGCGGTGGTATTTGAAATATTTAGTTGGGCATCCGCAGAAGCTGTGCGGATTGATTGAAAGTAATTTATTTCAAAACAAACAACCAAACAAACAAACAAACAAACAACCAAACAAACAAACAAACAAAAGATGTGCAGTCTTTCAGGGGCTCTGCGATGGGTGGAGTATCTATTCCGGAACCCCTTTGGTAACCACCGTTATATCTTATCCTTCCGGACCAGGGACCCTGAGGCCTGAAGGTTCGAGCGACTGAGCAGGGTCCGCCTCTCATTTCTCGCAAGTTGAGGCTAGGGTTGGGGGAAGAGTCGAGTTGAGCTGGCAAGCCCAAATGATTTGGTATATGTGTTAGCCGCCTCTGCAACTATTGACACTTGTCAGTGATGAAGAAGGAAGGAAGGAGAGAAAAAACTTCATTTGGTCCTGCGCAATGCGACTGGGTCACGCGCTTGGCTCAGTCCAGTGAAGGAAGAATAGAAATGTTTCAAGATTGCCGAGCACAATAAAGTAAAAACCAGATCGAGTTCTAAGACGAGACAATAGTTTTTTTCTCGCCTTCCCAACTCTTTCTACTAGTGCCGTCTCCTCCAGCAACTTATTTTTTTCAGAAAACACGAGGCCTGCCGGCACTAAGCACTGAGATATAGTCGGGATTTCAAACTTTCCGGCTACACGTTGCCACGTCCGCTTGCGCACTCGCAAAAACGCAGAAAACTCAGCATAATTGATTTATCCCTCGTGATTGTCACGCGATACAAACCAGCGTGGGCATGCGTGCTTGGCAAAGCAGGCCAGTCGGCAATTCACCGCAGATATTCCTCGCACATCGACCAATTGAGAGCGCAGTTCATCCTTACGTCACGTTTACGGGCTGCTGTTGTCACAAATTGTGTTGCACAGACGGGAAACGCCGGGGCAGAGTAACGCGCACGCGCTGCGTATTTTCAGCGGTTGTTTATGGCGCTTTGACAGATCAAACAAATGCTTATCTTCAAGCTATTAGGAAAATCTGGCTCAAAAGAGGACACTAAAAATCAGCCTACTTCACAAGTAACGTTTGTCACTTCACGTTCCTTTTGAACGCAAGTACTTTTGCGAGCCGTTACTGCAAGCTTCTGTTCAACAACTTTAATTTAACGTGCGGGATCACATACGTAATGAAATGTTAAAAGTTGAGCCCACTGTTGCTTCGATCCAGCTAATTCAAGACAATTCATTGGCACTATTATGTCGTTTTTAATGAAGCGAAATGTCACTGGAACTTCCCAGATGGCATCAATTACGAGAATTTATGCTGAAGCGAGAGCCACAGGTGCCGCCACGTTTGCAAAAGCTGTCTAGTAGCGCATAGATTGTGAAAATTTACGGACCACGTGAATGTGCATGTTAAGCTAGAGTTACTGTACCTAAAGGCCGCATATACCGTAAGTCTATGTTAAACGGCCCTTCCACGCCACATGGTGGTCCGCCACCTAACTTCGACCAAAGAAATAGGCCTACAATGGGTTTTATTGTCCTGGCATACAAATATTCAATTGCCGCGCAGAGCTTTATTAGTTCGTTGTTTGCTCGCCTTCAGTAAGGCCATCCCTTTGGTATTACTTGGTAGCAGATTTAAACAAATCACGGAGTACCTCAAGTGATGCTTCATCGTGCAGATCTGAGGGTTGTAAAGGGTTGCGATAGCGTTGAGACTGATAACAGTTACATTCATATACAGCCCTAGATACAGAACCATGTCACGTTACAGAAGGAAATAAAGAAATTAATTGCGTTGAGTGTGAAAGTAGCAGGGCCATCCATTGAGGGTGGGATGCTTTTTGGGCATAGCGTTGCTGGTGATCGCCAGTGACGTATAGCGAAAAATGTCGTAAAGGGGGCAGTTGGCCATGCTTGCGTGGTTCGTGAACTTCTGCGGGTGACTGCACAACAAGCTTGTCAAATAACGCACACAAACACGGTATGACATAAAGGGAGGACAAGAACAACAATAGAGAAGGCAGGGAGGCTAATCAGGCACATGTCCGGTTTGCTACCCTACAAGAAATGCAATAACGTGCGAAGCAAATGCAACGAAGACACTATGTTGCTAGCATATTATGTGTACGCTTGGTTGCAAGCTTTCTTCTATAATATTGTGTATGAAAGTAGTATTGACACCTAGTTTTCTAGAAAACACGCCATTGTTCATTATGTAAGCAGGGGCCTTTCGAACAAGACTACGCGAGGGTGAGCTTCTTCGGCGAGCGTTCAAAGTGGTATATTGATGGTGCTTGTGTATACCTTGCTGCAACAGAGCGCCGTAAGCGTACCACGCACAGTTGTGGAGCTCTGACAAACCACGCCCTTTTCGGCGTCGAGGTGCTTCTTCGGGGGACCAGTTGTAGACCAACCAAAGTGCCACGCTCACGACTGGGATGCTGATCAGGACAAGAGCCCAAACCTGCGCATTGGTGCCCAGTTTCAGCTCGCTCCTTGTTAAGAAACTACAGCTATAGCAGCTGCAATATAGTAGGTGAAGCAGAAGCACAAGGTGCTAATTTATCTCATGTATATAGTGTTGCAATGGCAATTTCGGCACGGATGAGCTTCAACAATATAAGCAGCCATGAGCACCTTCCCCCCCCCCCCCCACCACACACACACACGTGTGCACGGCATGAGCCTCTCCCACAGTATACCTGCGTGGTGAAGGGCTGCACGAAGAGCATCTTGCGGGACAAGATCTTGGGCGTCTGCAGCAGCATCGCCACCGGGTGACTCATGATGCTGTCGGTGAGAGAGAAGGCGTGCATGCGTTCCTCCGTTATGTCCGTGAACGACACCAGGTCCGTTTCCTGGAACATGGGAAACAGTTCTTCAGCAGTTCTGTTTCTTTATTAGCGGTGCCAACTCATATACGTATCACGACAGCAGGATCAGTCGGGTTAGAGGCATGAACGGGTTGACAACGAATGGATTGATATGTGAGGTTTAAGGTCTCAAAACCACCATATGATTATGAGAGGCGCTGTAGTGGAGGGCTCCGTGAACTTCGTTTTGTCCTAAAATAAATCAGTTTAGTTGCGCAGAACATGTTTAGCGTTTGATTTAGCTGCTTAATAGGATGGCTCCCCTTCCCTGGCAGCGGTTCCAGCCTGTCCTTTCTGTAATTGCGGCAGAGATTGACAACTAGCTAGCGGATTGCCATCTAATCACGAGGTTCAATAAGTAGCCTTCACACGATGGCGCTAATACCAGTGTGCAGTTTCATCTTGCCCATAATAACCGGAGTACAGCACCAATAAACAACGCTGGAAGTGACATTTTTGTAGAACATTGTGTATACAGGCCACAATATAACAATGATATCTAGAATGTTACGTCCCAAATACATGATGCGATTATAATAGACGCCGTAACACAGGGCTCCGGAAATTATGACCGTGTGGTGTTTCTTAACGTGCACTGTCATCGTAAAGTACACGGGCCTTTACCCATGATAACCCACTTTTTTTTGACAACAGATAGAACGCGGACGAGCGCGATGTCTGTTGTCAAAAAAGATTTTGCGCTAGAGGTAGGTTATCATGCAGTGCCAACTAGCTGAACCCCCTCCCGTTCTTTTTTTTGGTGCTGTACCGTTCTGCCTCCACCGAAATGCGACCACCGCGAACGGGATCAACCACGAGACCTTCGGTCAGCAGCCGAGCGCCTTAGCCACCGATCCACCGTGGCAGACATGTGAATGTAGGTAGGCCTACATCGAGCACATTAAGTTGCTATTACTTTTCTTATTTTCATGTGCTGGAGTAAACCGCTTGTTTTAGATATACCCGCTAACGTGCAATCAATTTTCTTGAGAGAGAGAGAGTACATGTGCACCTCAGAAAAGCCTCAGACCTATTGCATTGTCACGTGGTGTTGACTATGAAAGAAGCGGCACTCACTCCGGCAAAAATAAAACTCCCTAATTAGCTAACTTGTGCCTAGGAAACTGAATAATTCATAGTGCAAGCAAAGCGTGCTGTACTCCGATAGCGGCGCTAAGTGTCGTCAGCCTTCGGTAATCTGATCGTCGGCAGAAAGCGTTTTGTATTTTACAGCACTGATTCTATAGGCACCGCTCAGTCGGGGTTTTCACTCTGACTGCAGCGCCAAAATACATAGCCTAGCGGATGAAAAAAAACAACAACCTTGAGACGGCGTCGGTGAAAGTGAAACGCGACACGTGCGTCTCCAGCGCCTTGCATCTGTCGGTGGATTGTGGCTGGGATACATGGGGGACGCGCGCATGCGTCTATTTTCTGCGTGCCCCAACGGCGAATGTCAAAGACGGGGCAGTGTGAGCAACGCGGCTCACTCTGGGCAGTGTGCGATGCCTATCGCTGGTGCACGCGTAAGCTCGCGAATAAACGAGATTAGGCGTACTGCGCGTAAGCTGAATAGTAATTGTTCTGATTTTACGTCCTAAGTCTACAATTGGGCGCAACGCAAACCTGTGGAGCACTGCGATCACGGTGCACGTGCAGGGTTGGATCACGTGATCATGCCTCGTTCTGGCGAAGGAAAGCTGGCGGTTGAATGCGTTGTCTTTAAGTGCGACTCCGCGGTGTTTTCACTTTTGAACAGCCTCGTTTTGCTTTCACTTCATGTGTGCGGACTTCTGCAGGCTACACAATCCGGAAAGCTGAAGTAAAAGTTATCATCGACGCGCCACAGTGCGCTACGTACGTGATGTCACTGTCACGGCCGCTAGTGCCACTGTCACCTCTCTGTCACCTCGCAGCGAGCTGAGACGCGCGAGGAGTAGCCATTTGCGACGCGCTGCGCTTTCTCCGGTCCAAATCAGAATTCGTGCACATACGCCCCTCACCAAAGTGCACCACAAAAATCGACCTCTCCCTTCACAGCGGACCAATACCCGAACGCGATGAGATTAGAGTACTGGGGCTTTTTATACACAAAAATCGCAGAGCAGACACAACATTGGCCAAATTGCGTAAGGTGGCGGACCAGGTGGGCCGGATGGTCCGCCGGGTTTCCAACAAGCGCGGGGGGTTACGATGCAAAGATGCCTTGCGGCTGGCGCATGCATTCGTAACCAGCCGAGTCCTGTACTCGGCTCCATACCTCCACCTACGCAAATCCGACGAGAATGCACTCGAAGTCATTCTCCGCAAAATCTACAAGCGCGCCCTCGACCTTCCTGTCAGCACCTCTAACCAGCGCCTTTTGGGCTTGGGAATGGTGAACACCTTCAAGGAGCTGAGAGAGGCGCACTTGACAAACCAATATACTAGACTCTCTAAAACACCGTCGGGTCGCCGCCTCCTTGCCCGGCTACACATCAATCATTCAATACACACGGAAGAGCGCGTACGGATTCCAGAAGTTTGGCGATACTCCTTGCACGTGCGCCCTCTTCCGGCTAACATGACCCGAGACGACTACAGTGGCCGACGCCTCGCGCGGGCGGAAGCCTTGGCTCGACACTACGGCCACAAATTCGGAGTATTCTACGTGGACGCCTCCGGCCCGCACCACGGTGGTTGGTACACGGCTGCGGTCGTCCACCAAAACACCATTGTAAACGGACTCACATTCCGTGCACATAACATTACGCACGCGGAGGAGATCGCCATCGCACTAGCCGCCACAGATCAGGACTCGAGGGTCATCATCGCCGACTCAAGGGGTGCCTGTCGCAATATTGAACAGGGATACATCCCGTACCGTGCTTACAAAATTTTGCAGAACAGCAGCTACCTAGGTGCCCCCGCGCACCGAACGATCATATGGGCTCCGGCTCACACGGGCCTCGATGGTAATGAGACGGCCGATGCCGCTGCCCGCGCGCTCACTCTCCGGGCACCATCCTCGTCCCCTACCGATCCGGAACTCGAACCCAATCCCACCTACACCTTTAAGGAGGTCACACAATTTTACCAATCGGGCCATAGCGTCTATCCGAAGCCCTGTAAGGGCCTCACGAAGGCGGAGGAGCGAATCCTCCTTCGCCTTTATACTAAAACTCTATTGTGCCCGGCAATCATGAAACACTTTGACCCCGCTTGTACGGGGAAGTGCCCGCATTGTGAGGAAAATTCCTCTGACATTTTCCACATGGTGTGGGCATGCCAAAAAACCCCAAACCTTACCCCACTACCCAACCCTTCGCGGGAGGACTGGGAGGCAGCCCTGCTCGGCTGCTTTGACCTGACGGCCCAACGGGCCCTGGTCGAGCGTGCCCGGGCCGCGGCCAACGCCAATGGGCTCCCGTAAGAGGGAGCTCACCTAGTGTTTGTACGGGGCGGCCCTTTAAGGACCGTTCCCACCCTCCCTGTAAATAACATCTGCAAATAAATGTTTTTCAGCAGCAGCGCTTTCTCCGTGCTCGCTTTCTCACACGGTGTGCTCTCTGCCTATTCCATGCGTGATTCGCGACGCACGTGCGAGGCACGATGTAAGATAAAACTGCAACGCTGCTACTTCTTGCGTCGGCCGTCGCGACACTTCGAAAATCGAGCGTTATGGGGAATGGTGAAGGGTCGGGGAGCTTCAAAGGCGGTGTGCGGGCCTAGAGAGCTTCGCTCCTTAAAATAGGAGTTTTTTTTATATTACAGCAACCTCAAAAATTACGGCAAGTTGCTGCCTCATACATACATGTTAGCGCGCAGTGGCTAAATCAGTTGATTACGCAGAAAGGAGCACGCCAAACCTAAGAGGCTGCGTATCGTGACACGTGTCTATGCCACAAACTCACCCTTTTGTTAAGGTTGCCTAACAACCCATTCCAGTTGGACTGTGTCAGCTTGTATCCGAGGCTCGTGGCATTTTCAGCCAGCTGGTAGCTCACACTGCACAAAAGAAGTCACCACGTTCTATGAGACTAAACATCCTTGAACGTGGGTTGTAGATTGCCAACGTTTCAAGTGGCTTTCTATTCTTCAAAGCAGTTGCTGCCTTTAAGAAGAGACAGTCACTTGTCAAAGCATTGGCTGAAGCAACACCTCCTTCCTGTTGAAGACTTTTCCATCTCAATAAGCCTTCATCCTACAGTGAAATCCTGCACTGTGCATGTGTGTAGACGCTTGATTGAGTACGTGTGTGTGCTTGTACGTGCGAGTGCGTCCATCACACAATTGTCCCCCAGCAGCAACATGTTATGTAGCGTTATGTGGCAGGTTAGGTACCTGTATTTATGCTTGAGGGCTTACGCATGCGGCTGTTTAAATACTCAAGTGGACTAATGAAGGGCTTATATAGTGGAAAGAGAATGACTGTTACGTCTGCAAGGAACATAAACGGCTCGCCATAGCCAATATATCATGCAAAGTGCTCAAGAACTTTGTGCGCTTTGTTCGAGCTTCATTAAGCACTTTGACGATGGCTCTCTGTCACACGTTCCGTTAATTAAGGAGGCAATCGCTGGGATAATTCCAAGGGCCGAAGCATCGGCCCCCCAAATTGCACCATAAAAGCGCGGACAATTTAGAAGTGGTCCTATTTGGCGCGCCAGCGGACGCCGGCTGTGGACCAAAGAACGAGTCAGAGCCGAGAGTTGATAAACAAAACAAAATAAATTATATTCTCAAATATCGCAGATCAAACGATACACAAATATGCACACTCGACAATAGTTGAATACGATATGTCACCAATCAAACAACGTGCTACATAGTACAATAAGCTACACTCGAAGCAACGGACACAAACAACAATAGGCGCTACAATGCAATCACATGCATCGAACAATCAAGACACTTGGAAGACCAAAGAGTTCGAAAACCTGTTCAGTCCAAAGTCCTTGGAACGGAGTCTGAATGATACTCCTCCAAGAATAACTCACTCAAAGTCCAGCGTTGTTGTCGATCCGCTGCCCCCGAAGGTTCTCGTCCAGGAAACCTCGCGTCTTCAATTGGCCGCTCTCCAAGCACCAAACTTTCTCGCCGGTAACACGTCGGCTTCCCACGCGTTGCGATTGCAGGACGCGTCTTCGCTCTCTAGCGGTAGACACACTCTTCTTCTTCTGCTGGTAGCACCAGCCTTCAACCTTCAGGCGGAAATCCTCTTTGTCACCTGCGTTGTCACTGACGACAAAAGCCTTCGCCGACACGGCGGAATGATTCTACACACACTTGCGCAAAACTTTCTTCATCTCCTGCCTACGCACGCTGGCGTAAACTGTCTTCGTCTCCTGATTTCCCTCCTCCGCTGTTCTCTTGAATACCTTTCGTGCTAGATTCCAGAACATTCTAATCATTTCGTCGGCGGGATGCACAGTCAAGGCTGGGGAAAAGGCGAGACGTTTCGAGGACCGTCCGCGACTCATGACGCAACTCTACATAACCACGCGCCTTTCCTTCTAAATCTTTCCAGGGCTTGCTCGGCGGCGGTTGTGAGGAGGTTGGTCGGTGAAATTACGCTTCCGAGTGGAAGAGACTGCGCGCCCGGGAAATCTAGATGCTTGTTTTCTTCTTTAGCTTTGGCCTTGAGGCGTCTCTCTAGCTCTTGGTATCGTCGTTGTCGCCAGAATTCGGCGGCGCGCACTTTTTCGGAGTGCTCGTTTGTGACACTCTCGGAGATCTGAGAACAATTGTAGAGCACGGAAACTTTGCAATTGTCCTTCTTCGGCGTCATAAGAACGGTTGCACACAACCTATTTTAAAGACGATCGTCTTTCTTGGGGACCTTTGACGCAAAAATTTTGATCTGTCTGTCTGTACATTTGTCTGTTTGCACACTCTTACCGGCATCGGGTATTGAAACGGCCGGCTCCATCCGCAGCGACCACCAATGTTGCTCAAGGTTGAGCGTTTATGCTTGTGCAATTGTCATTTAAAAAACAATTATCGCACATGTCTGGGGCACCATAACAACACGCATATATTCTGCATATGCATCTCTTACTAGAAAACGCATACATAAGTAATTTTAAGGACCGTAGCGCTTATCACGCTGCGCTTATCATGCAACCATTGCATGGAACGGGGAGTGTTTCCAACGCTTTGCTAAGACGACATGGTGGTGGCACCTACCCGTCGCCTCGCGTTCTACAGCTTATCACCTCTGAGACGGGCGCGCACGGCCACGCGCTTTGTTTTCCAAAAGAAACTGCCAGATGGCGCTCGTGTCTCACGTGGGACGTGACTTGATGCGCTCGTTGGCCTCCGCTACACGCTCGAGGCACTCTAACGCAGCGCCTCCGGAATACCATTCACCGATTTTCTTGCGCAGAACATCAAATAAATGTTTTGTTCACTCTTTCCACACGCAACACTATTGTCTTTCGACGACATTTGCAGATTACATGCAGATATGGGGCCAATTTTTCTTTTAATAATTGTATACGCAGGTGCACTTATGAAAACCTTTTGCAGAATTGCGAGCAGTTATACGTACACCTATGCTTGAGCGAAATCACATCCTGTGGAGGAATCAGGTTGCATTATGGATTGCACGGTTTCAGTGTATGTTATAAGTGATGTATTGATACCGTGTTTGAAGCTTTAAAGACACCCTAAACCACACCGAGTTCGAAGGCGAGAAAGAAGGCTTTCACATACCCTTCCTATGAGCGCTATTTTCTCCTCACCACTTATTTATTCATAAACACGCTGATCGTCCGCACTAATCGTTAAGCAACTCAGGATTTTACGCTTTCCAACCGAACACCGCTGTCTCCGTCTGCGCAGTCACGGATTCATCACGCGCAATTGTCATGCGAGAAAAAGAGAACGGAATAGAAAGTTGGGCGAGTTGGTTCATATTAAAAGTTCATATTAAAAGTTCATATTAAAAGTTCATATTAAAAGAAAAGCGGCGCACAAAAAGACGGAGACAAAGAAGAGAACCACACACAGCGCTGCACGACACGGGCTGCACGACAAATTAGGTTAGGAAAAAATTCAAAACATATCTCTCGTATATCGACCAATCGATAGGTCGTGACGTCACATATGAGTTAACTATTGACGACATGAATTGTGCCGTATGGGTGGCAAACGCCAGGAGAGAATAACGCGTTGCTTTTTGGTAGTTTGAGAGGCTGTTTAGGGACCCTTCAATTATTTTAATAGTGTTGCTTTAGATAAACAGCGTTGTTTAATAAATAACGAGGTGTTTACACATATCAACGAATTTCATCTCGAGGACATAAATGCGTCACCGTAACAAAGTTTACGCAGCTTCGAGATACTCCTGCAGGAAGGTCACCCTCACATTTTTTTTGTCGCATAAAGCTGTATTTCCATGGCGGACCAAATTGCGATTCGAGCCTGCAGCGGATTGCGAACCACGTCGCCATACGTCAACCGGTCCCGTGTTCTCGCTTCGCTCCACGTGGACCGATTCGTAAAACGACGGGAGCCCAAATCACTGTTGGTATATATCCTCGGAGAGCAACGCGGAAATCCTCGCTTGTAGCGTGAATTCTCTCCTGTTGTATGAATGGCGGCTGCGGAGAAATTTGAACTACGTCACATGTCACGTGACTGATCCGTCCGAGATCACGTCCGTCGTGCGAATACAGCTTGATTGATATATGGGGTTTAACGTCCCAAAACCACTATATGATTATGAGAGACGCCGTAGTGGAGGGCTCCGGAAATTTAGACCACCTGGGGTTCTTTAACGTGCACCCAAATCTGAGCACACGGGCCTACAACATTTCCGCCTCCAT